ACAGTGTATGTTACTTAATTGAATTTAAATAAGAAAAAGAAAAAGAAATAAAAACAAAAACAAAAAAAAGACTCTCTCCCTCTGTCTCGGCCCCTCCCCCACCCTGCTCCCATGCTGTCTCTCTCAAATAAATAAATAAATTAAAAAAAAAAAAAAAGGAAAAGACTTGCATGCTCTTCGGACTGAACTAGCCAGGCGCCCCAGTATTTTCAAAAAAAATTTTTTTTAAGATTTTATTTTTATTTATTTATTTATTTTTTAAAGATTTTATTTATTTATTTGAGAGAGCAAGAATGAGAGAGAGCACATGAGAGTGGGGAGGGTCAGAGGGAGAAGCAGACTCCCTGCCGAGCAGGGAGCCCGATGCGGGACTCGATCCCGGGACTCCAGGATCATGACCTGAGCTGAAGGCAGTCGCTTAACCAACTGAGCCTGGGTGGCTCAGTCGTTAAGTGTCGTTAAGTGTCTCTCTTCAGCTCAGATCATGATCCCAGGGTCCTGGGATCGAGCCCCTCATCAGGCTCTCTGCTCCGCGGGAAGCCTGCTTCTCCCTCTCCCACTCCCTGGGCTTGTGTTCCATCTCTCGCTGTGTCTCTCTGTCAAATAAATAAAATCTTCAAAAATAAATAAAGGTTTTATTTATTTATTTGAGAGACAGAGAGAATTAAGTGGGGGGGGTGCATAGGGAGAGGGACAAACAGACTCCTTGCTGAGCAGGGGGCCCGACGTGGGGCTTGATCCCAGGACTCTGAGATCATGACGTGAGCCAAAGACAGACACTTAACCAACTGAGCCACCCAAGTGCCCCTCAAAATTTTTGAGATGGATGAGGATACTAATTTTTTTCTACTGTATATCAGAATTGTATATTGTAATGTGCCAACATTTGAAATATCTGCATTACACATTGAACCAGTTTCCTCCAAATGATCTGTTCCAAATGCAATAAAAAGCAATGGATCCAAATATACAGATTACAAAGTTTATTGATATGGCTTCAGAGTCTATGTTGCAACTAACGTTTAAGAAACACTATGTGTCGGGATGCCTGGGTGGCTGTTGGTTAAGGGGCTGCCTTTTGCTCAGGTCATGATTCTGGGGTCCTGGGATCAAGTCCTGCATTGGGCTCCTTGCTCAGTGGGGAGCCTGCTTCTCTCTCTGCCTGCCGCTCCCCCTGCGTGTGCTCTGTCTCTCTCTCTGACAAATATATAAATAAAATCTTAAAAAAAAAAAGAAACTACTATGTGTCAAGTTTTGATATAGTATAAAAAAAGATCCACAGTTATCTGAAAAAGCTATTGAAATATGTCTTCATTGGGGCACCTGGGTGGCTCAGTCGTTCGGCGTCTGCCTTTGGCTCAGACCATGATCCTAGGGTCCTGGAATCAAGCCCCGCATCGGGCTCCCTGCTCCGCGGGAAGCCTGCTTCTCCCTCTCCCACTCCTCCTGCTTGTGTTCCCTCTCTCACTGTGTCTCTCTGTCAAATAAATAAAATCTTTAAAGAAAAAAAAAAGAAATATGTCTTCATTGAACCACTAAATTGTACACCTGAAACAATGCAAAACTATGTATCAACTAACTGGAATTAAAATAAAAACTAAAACTAAGATATATGCCTCCATTTTTTTCAACAGCATATTTGTGAGACCAGATTTTCTTTATATTCTAATCCAAAACAATATAGTGCAACAGGTTGAGACTCCAGTTGTCTTCCTCTATTGAAGAGATTTGCAAAAATGTAGAAATGCACACCCATCTTGTTAAATGTTTGTTTTGGAAAATACAGTTATTATTCTTTTAATAAAAACTAAGGTAAAGGGGTGCCTGGGTGGCTCAGTCGTTAAGCATCTGCCTTCGGCTCAGGTCATGATCCCAGAGTCCTGAGATCAAGCCCCACATTTGGCTCCCTGCTCAGCGGGAAGCCTGCTTCTCCCTCTCCCACTCCCCCTGCTTGTGTTCCCTCTCTCGCTGTCTCTCTCTCTGTGTCAAACAAATAAATAAAATCTTAAAAATAAATAAATAAATAAAAATAAAAACTAAGGTAGGTTAACATGTAATGTGTTGTTGTGACTTTAAATGGATTAATATTTATTTTTTTCTGTTTTAATTCCTAATATAGTAAATATCTATATATATAATCTACATACACAAAAGCCTTCAGGGAATCTTCAATTTTTAAGAGTGGAAAGAGATCCTGAGACCAAAAAGTTTGAGAACCACTGCTCTACAGCTTGGAAGTGATGGAGCAGAGGACAGTACCCAGGAAGTTTGGCTATAGAGTCCATGCTCTTTTTTTTCCTTTTTTAAGTTGGCTCCATGCCCAATGTGGGGCTGGAACTCATAACCCCAAGATCAAGAGTCACATGCTCTACTGACTAAGCCAGCCAGGAGTCCCTGTAGAGTCCATCTCTTAAATGTTTCATTATACCTATCGTTTCCCTCTTTTTACAATCACTGGCAAGACATAAGAGAAAATGTCGTAGTATTTAATTTGTGGGGGATAGAAATTTGCAGTGCAGTAAAACATGTAAAAATAACTTCACTTCTTTGAAAACTTCCTTTATTTTCTTTTACTGTTAGCTTCTTCCTTCTTTGCTTCATCTCTAATGAGCAAAGAACTCAAAATCTATCATTTAAACCACCATCTTGGGCGCCTGGGTGGCTCAGTCAGTTAAGCATCTGCCTTCAGCTCTGGTCCTGGGATCGAGCCCCAAGTTGGGCCCCCTGCTCAGTGGGGAGTCTGCTTCTCCCTCTGCCTCTGCCTCTCCCCCTGCTTGTGCTCTCTCTCTCTCTCAAATAAATTAAATATTTAAAAGAAAAGAAAAATCAACAGAGTATCTACCAAAGAACAAAAAAGGGGAGCCTGGCTGGCTCAGTTGGTAGAACATGAGACTCTTGATCTTGGGGTCATGAGTTCAAGCCCCACATTGGGCATAGAACTTACTTAAAAAAATAAGTAAATAAATCTTGAAGAGAAAATATAGACAGGGTACCTGGGTGGCTCAGTCGTTAAGCGTCTGCCTTTGGCTGAGGTCATGATCCCGGGGTCCTGGGATCGAGTCCTACACCGAGCTCCCTGTTCTGCAGGAAGAAGCCTGCTTTTCCCTCTGCCTCTGCCTCTCTCTCTCTGTCTCTGTCTCTCTGTCTTTCATGAATAAATAAATAAAAACTTAAAAAAAATAAACAGACTCACAAAAGGCTTCTAATCAGCAACAATAGATTAAAAAAACACTGGAGAGGCGCCTGGGTGGCCCAGTTGGTTAAGCGACTGCCTTCGGCTCAGGTCATGATCCTGGAGTCCCAGGATCGAGTCCCGCATCGGGCTCCCTGCTCAGCGGGGGGTCTGCTTCTCCCTCTGACCCTCTTCCCTCTCGTGCTCTCTGTCTCTCATTCTCTCTCTCTCAAATAAATAAATAAAATCTTTAAAAAATATTTATAAAAAAACACTGGAATTGTATATGAAGTCTTTTTTTTTTTTTTTTAAGATTTTATTTATTTGACAGAGAAAGACACAGCGAGAGAGGGAACACAAATAGGGGGATTGGGAAAGGGAGAAGCAGGCCTCCCCCAGTGCACGGAGCCCGATGTGGGGCTCGATCCTAGGACCCTAGGATCATAACCTGAGCCTAAGGCAAACACCTAACGACTGAGCCACCCAGGCGCCCCTGTGTCTGAAGTCTTGAGGGAAGGGTGCCTGGGTGGCTCACTGTGTTGAGTGACTGGCTCTTGGTTTCAGCTCAGGTTGTGATCTCAGGGTCTTGAGATCAAGCCCTACATTGGGCTCTGCACTCAATGTGGAGTCTGCTTAAGATTCTCTCTCTCCCTCTGCCCCTCCCCCTGCTCTCTCTTTCTTAAATAAATAAATAAAAATCTTTATAAAAAATAAAGCTTTGAGGGAAAATAAATGTCAGTTTTTTAAAGTATATTTTTTCCTCAGATTTTATTTTATACTCCATTGTCATATTTTATTTATTTATTTTTAAAAGATTTTATTTATTTATTTGAGAGAGAGAAAGAGAGACAGAGAGCACGAGAGGGAAGAGGGTCAGAGGGAGAAGCAGACCCCCAGCTGAGCAGGGAGCCCGATGCGGGACTCGATCCTGGGACTCCAGGATCATGACCTGAGCCAAAGGCAGTCGCTTAACCAACTGAATCACCCAGGTGCCCCTCCATTGTCATATTTTAATCAGTACTTGTGAGGTATTCTTCTATTGAACTTCCTGAGAATGAAATGGAGTTAGAAAATGAATAAACTACAAGGCCATTATCTGATAAGTAAGTATAGAAAAATTAGAATAATATGACTACTAAGTTAAGACTATAATGATAAAACAATAGAATGAGATATTATTTGAAAGAATGATAGAATCAACAGTACCTCAGAGCTATGAGAGAAAAGTAACTTCCTATCCTGAGAGGATAAATTTAACGCAAAATAAATTATTGTAATTGAAAATACCATAGAGTAGGGCACCTGGGTGGCTCAGTTGGTTAAGCAACTGCCTTCGGCTCAGGTCATGATCCTGGAGTCCCTGGATCGAGTCCCGCATCGGGCTCCCTGCTCTGCGGGGAGTCTGCTTCTCTCTCTGACCCTAACCCCTCTCATGTACTCTCTCTCATTCTCGCTCTCTCAAATAAATAAATAAATCTTAAAAAAAAAAAAAATTAAATACCATAGAGTAATCCAAGATATGTTTTTCTATTAGATTCCATTAGGACACCTAAAAATCACTGGGGCATTCAGTCAAATGTCACTGCTGGATCTCAGGGACATACTGGTTCAGTACATCTTGGGCAGGGTAATTAATCTGCATTTTAAATTATCATCTCTGGTAAAACTGACATAAGATGTTTCAAAGATCACACTATTTTCATATTATATGAGAGAGGAATGGACAATATGTACACTTTTAATAGATACTTTAATGTACATAGAAACCTCTATGAAATGTTATAATAAATGTAGAATATTTCTGCATTTTTTTTTAAAGATTTTATTCATTTATTTGACAGAGAGAGAGACACAGCGAGAGAGGAAACACAAGCAGGGGGAGTGGGAGAGGGAGAAGCAGGCTTCCCGCAGAGCAGGGAGCCCGATGCGGGGCTCGATCCCAGGACCCTGAGACCATGACCTGAGCCGAAGGCAGACGCTTAACGACTGAGTCACCAGGTGCCCCAGTATTTATTTATTCTTTTAAAAAATATTTTATTTATTTGATATATATATAGAGAAAGTATGAATGGGGGGAGGCGCAGAGAGAGAAGCAGACTGCCCACTGAGCCCCAACTCAGGGCTCGATCCCAGGACCCTGAGATCATGACCTGAGCCGAAGGCAGATGCTTAGCTGACAGCTGCCCAGGTACCCATTATTTATTTTTGTATGGTTATGACTATGTATATTTTGTTCACAGTTAAGCCAAATAATTACGATTAAATTTGTCTCATATAAATTTTTGTTGTTCCTGAAATTTCCAATTGCCTTGGGTTTTTTTGTTTGTTGGTTTTGTTTCATACACTGTCAGAAGTGTAAACCTCTTGGGGAGCCCGGGTGGCTCAGCTGGTTAAGTGTCAGACTCTTGGTTTTGACTCAGGTCATGATCTTATGGGTCCCAAGGTAGAGCCGGAGGCAAGCCCCTAGCCAGGTGGAGCCCTGAGTGGAGCCCTGCATTGAGCTCCAAGCTCAGCCAGAGAGTCTGCTTGAGGATTCTCTCCCTCTGCCCCTCCCACCACGTGTGTGTGTGCGCGCGCGCGCGCCTGCTCTCTCTCTCTCTCTCAAATAAATAAATCTTAAAGAAAAAAAAAGAAGTGTAAAGCTTTCAAGTTGGTCAAACACAGTAGGTAACCTGTTGATTTCATGTGATATCAAGCTGGCGTGGTGGCAAGAGGCCTGTTGCAAAGTTGTCCTGGCTCTTCCCTACACTTTCATCCAGGGAATCCCTTTGTTTCTCTTCTGTGTGGATCAACTGTTTATTTCCGGGATACCGTGTTTTGATTTTCCCTGGCTTCATGCTCTGTTTTAGTACTTCATCATCCACTAGCTTCCTGAGGAAGGGAGCACAGAAAGAAAATTTCCTGTCTTTGCATGCCTGGAAACATCTTAGAGGAAGGAGTATAGGATTCTAGATTAAAAATAATATTCATTTAGAATTTTGAGGGCATTGTCCTCATCATTTTATAGTTTTCAGGAGTATTATTAAATCTAATGCCATTCTGTGTATGCAACTGAGTATCCCTTGTATGCAACCTGATTTTCTCTCTCAAAGCCTTTAAACAGTTTTTTTTCTTTTTTGAGAGAGAGTACGCATGAGATGAGCAGGGGGAGGGGCAGAGGAAGAGGGAGGGAGAAAATCTTTATAGGCTTTGCCCCCAGTGATCATGACCCAAGCCAAAATCAAGAGTCTGACACTTAACCAACTGAGCCATCCGGGCGCCCCTCTCTAGAAGCCTTTAAGAGTTTCATTTAATATTTACTATGAAATTTCATAATGAAATACCCTTGGGTGTTTGATTTTCAAAAAAATGTTGTTTCTTTGTTTTTTAAATTTACTGTGTTAGACCCTTTCAATCTGGAAACTCATGTCCTTCAGTTCAGGAACATGTTCTTGAATTATTTCTTTAATAATTTTCCAGCAACTACTCAATTTGTTCTCTTTCCAAAATTCTTATTTTTTTATAATCTTTTTTTTTAAAGATTTTATTTATTCATTTGAGAGAGAGAATGAGAGAGAGAGAGCACATGAGAGGGGGGAGGGTCAGAGGGAGAAGCAGACTCCCTGCCGAGCAGGGAGCCCGATGCGGGACTCGATCCCGGGACTCCAGGATCATGACCTGAGCCGAAGGCAGTCGCTTAACCAACTGAGCCACCCAGGCGCCCTCCAAAATTCTTATTTTTTTTTTTTAAAGATTTTATTTATTTATTTGACAGAGAGATAGAGAGAGAACACAAGTAGGCAGAGTGGCAGGCAGAGGGAGAGGGAGAAGCAGGCTCCCCGCAGAGCAGGGAGCCCGATGCGGGACTCGATCCCAGGACCCTGGGATCATGACCTGAGCCGAAGGCAGCTGCTTAACTGACTGAGCCACCCAGGCGCCCCCAAAATTCTTATTTTTTAAGATTTTTTATTTACTTATTTTTGCGAGAGAGAGAGAGAGAGAGCATGAGAAGGGGGAGGGGCAGAGGGAGAAGAAGATTCCCCACTGAGCAGGGAGCCTGATGTGGGACTTGATCCCAGGACCCTGGGATCATGACCTGAGCCGAAGGCAGATGCTTAACTGACTGAGCCACCCGGGGCCCTCCAAAACTCTTATTAATCAGATATTCTGTCTCCTAGATTAAGCCTCTAATTCTTTTTTTTTTTTTAAGATTTTATTTATTTATTTGAGAGAGGGAGAGAGAGAGAGAGCAGGGGGAGTGGGTGGCAGACGGAGAGGGACAAACAGACTCCTGGCTGAGCAGGGATCCCGATTCGGGGCTCAATCCCAGGAGCCTGGGATCCTGACCTGAGCTGAAACCAAGAGTCGGACACTTAACCAACTGCTGAGCCACCCAGGTACCCCTCTGAAGATATTTTTTTTTTAAGATTTTATTTATTTATTTGACAGAGAGAGACACAGGGAGAGAGGGAACACAAGCAGGGGGAATGGGAGAGGGAGAAGCAGGCTTCCTGCTGAGCAGGGAGCCCGATGCGGGGCTCGATCCCAGGTCGCTGGGATCATGACCTGAGCCGAAGGCAGACGCTTAACGACTGAGCCACCCAGGCGCCCCCCCCGCCAAGATATTAATTGAAGTTTTTTGTAATTGTCTTCTGACCCCTTCATTATCCGTTACCTTCTTGGTTCCTTTTCTTGTCTTTCATGTTTGAGGTTGCCATCAGCTTTCTGTTGATCCTTGACTATCTGTTCTGACTTAAGCTGAGGTCAAAAAGAGAAATGGAAAGCTCATAGAAGGTCCAGAAAAAGTCAGCTGGTGGGCCTCATTGTGTGGTGGGTGAGGGAGGGACCAGTCCTTGAGCTTCTGTAAATTTTTTCTCCTTGGTCAATCATTGTCCCCAAAGAGGAATTTTCCAATCCTCCTGACCCTGCTTTCAAAAGACTAAGACCTTCTGATTTTTGAAGTCTTTACAAGTTCTAAGACTCCAATTATCTTACATCATTTTGGATTGCAACTCCACACCTCATGAGTAGAATGGAAAATATTCAAACTTAAGGATTTAAAACCTCACACATACGACTTTCCATTTTTCAAAGTTATATCTCTCATTTGCTCCAGTCTTCTCTCTCTTTGTCCTTGTGCTTTTCTGGTTTTTTTTTTTTTTTAAATTTCTTACTCTCATTTTTTTTTTTTTTAAGTAGGCTCCATGCCCAGTGTGGAGCCCAACACGAGGCCTGCTCAAGACCCCAAGATCAAGACCTGGGCTGAGATCAAGAGTTGGACGCTTAACTGACTGACCCACCCTGGCACGCCTCCTTACTCTCATTTTGATATGGTTTCTGGAGGGAACAGAGATAAATGTGTATGCTCAATTCACCATATTTAACCAGAAGCTTCTTCCTCAAGTCTCAGTTATGTCATTTCTCTAACTCCTAAAGTGGTTGTGAAAATTAAAGATAGTAGTGCATATGTAACAGGATGTTGAAAGAGATTTTTCCTGTTGCCTTGGAATTTGAACTGAGTCCTCAAGGAGAGAAGAAGAGCATGTAGGTACTCCACATAGTAAGGAAAGACTACTGGACAGACTAAAGAGAACAACTCTTCCAAGATTGATGGTCCTTATCCTCATCTTCATCCTATAGAGGATGAGAAATTTGACGAGGGAATGAAGGTATGGAGATAAAATAGTTGGGCTATTTTGGAGTACTTTGTTTTTCCCCTTTTCTCATTGTGAGGGAGGTGAGCAGAGGCTATACACCAAGTGAGGAGAGTATCTAGAGACTGGGGGTACTTGCAAGAAACAGAGGTGGGCATCTCACTCCTTGGCTGCATGTTTCTTGGGTGGTAGAGTTATTGTCCCAATGCTGCCAAAGAGTACAACAGAGCACAAATTCCAGAAGAACTTGACAGGAGTTTTCTGGCATTTGGGAAATGCATATGAACATAAGGATAAGTATCTGCTGATGGTTTGGTTGGCTGGAGCCAGGACCTGGGATGCCAGTCCTAGGAGGCGGCCTGCACTTCCAGCATTTGGCATGGTAAGAATGTGGGAGTTTCCCATGAACCAAGAAAACATCATGGAAAGCACTTGGGCTTGAACCATCTAGATGGGACCAGATGCCAAAGCCCAATGCCAGGCTCAAACTCACGACCCTGAGATCAAGACCGTGAGATCAAGACCTGAGCTGAGATCAAGAGTCAGACACCCAACTGAGCACCCAGTTGTCCCTTAAGTTTTTATTTTATTTTATTTATTTTTTTAAAAGATTTTATTTATTCATTTGACAGAGAGAGAGACAGGGAGAGAGGGAACATAAGCAGGGGTAGTGGGAGAGGGAGAAGCAGGCTTCCTGCTGAGCAGGGAGCCCGATGCGGGACTCAATCCCAGGACCTTGAGATCATAACCTGAGCCGAAGGTAGACGCTTAATGACTGAGCCACCCAGGCATCCCTAAGTTTTTATTTTAATACCCACTGCTCATCATGACAAGTGCATTCCTTAATTTCCTTCACCTATTTCACCTATTCCCCCACCCCTCTCTCCTCTGGTAACCATCAGTTTTTTCTTTATATTTAAGAGTCTGTTTCTTGGTTTGTCTCTCCCTTTTTTCCCTTTGATCATTTGTTTTGTTTCTTAAATTCCCATATAAGTGAAATCATATAGTATTTGTCATTCTCTGATTGACTTATTTCACTTAGCATTATACTCTCTAACTTCATCCATGTCATTGCAACTGGCAACATTTCATTCTTTTTTATGGCTGAGTAATATTCCATTATATATATATATCACATCTTTTTTATCCATTCATCCATTGATGGGACACTTGGGCTGCTTCCGTATCTTGGCTATCGTAAATAATGCTGCCGTAAACATAGGGGTGTATGCATCCCTTTGAATTAGTGTTTTGTATTGTCTTTGTTTGAATAGTGTTTTGTATTCTTTTGTAAATACCCAGTAGTGTGGAGAATGGAGTTTAGATAGGTGACTATTAGACTCTGCAGCAGTACATCCCTTCAGCTACTCAATGTCTCTCATGTGGCTATTTGTGTTCCAGCAACCTATACTGGTTTAAGTAACCTCTGCACCACGTGGGCTTGAACTCATGACTCCAAGATCAAGAGTCACATACTCTACTAACTGAGCCAGGTGGCCCTAGCAACCTATGAACTAAGACAAATTGTCAACTGCCAATGCACCGTATATACATTGGTGGAATAGGAAAAGTCAATCACAAGCAAAGCTCTCTCTTTTTCAGGACAGCATAGGGAACACCCAGCAGTGGCTGGTCACTGGTCCATAGACCACTGAGTGGCTTGCCTGTGTTCTCATCCCTTGAACCTGGATGTACCAGTGTCTGGTTGACCGATGGAGGAGAGCAGAAGTGATGCTTTGTAACCTCTAAGGCCAGGTCCTGAAAGGCAATGCAGCTTTTGACTAGTTTGTTGGAACACTGATGCTGGGACCCTCTAAGTCAGCACTCCAACTGCCTGGAGGCCACCATCTTGTGAGGAAGCCCGAGGTGGCCTACACAGAGAGCCCTTGAGAAGCCCTGAGAATAGAAAAGAGAGTGAGATGCCTCGCTCTTCCAGCTCCAGCTGTATAACTCCTACCACACAAGCCACCCTGAGCCAGGGTGCCCAGCAAAACCCTCTGGAGCCATAGACGCTGTGGGGATAATAAATGATTGCTATTTTTAAGTTTTGGAGTGATGTGTTTCACAGCAATAGATCTGTAGAACAACAGGTATATCAAGTCTGGGAGGGACCAAGGACCATGCGCCCTGACGGAAGAGTAAGTTCCTCAGTCGGTCTATCTGGCTTACCCTCGTTCTGCCCCTTGGGAAAATCTCCACTGCTCTCCCTGGCCTCTTGCTCTGCCCTCAGGGAAGTTGTTCTTTGTCCACCATCCCTCATGGCCCATCTGAAGAGACCTCTGTGGGGGATACTCTCTTCAAGGACTACACAGTTTGGGAAGCCACCTCTAGAGGGGGCCACTTCTGAGTTGTGGATCCAGGATGTTTTAGTTTATAGCCAGAGGCTATGACAGGCCAGGTGCGGATTTTTGTTTGTTTGTTTTTGTTTTTGTTAACATAGTTTCATGAAAGAATTAGTAGGCTTCCGGTCAACTCTTAAACATGAGTTACTGTGGCCAAGATATCATACTGAGGCGAGGCTAGAAACTCATATTTTGCATATTGGCCGCTGTGTCCTCCCCCCCCTCCCTCCCAGCCTCCCCCACCCCCGACCCTGCCAATTGTTGGAGGCCTGAAGGGGAAGATGAACTGTTAGTCTGATCTTTGCTGGGTGTCTTGCACTATAGTCAGGCACAGAACTCTTTTTTTTTTAGATCTTATTTGGGATCGCTTCTCGGCCTTTTGGCTAAGATCAAGTGTAGATCTTATTTGGGGCGCCTGGGTGGCTCAGTTGTTAAGCGTCTGCCCTCGGCTCAGGTCATGATCCCAGGGTCCTGGGATCGAGCCCTGCATCAGGGTTCCTGCTCCGTGGAAAGCCTGCTTCTCCCTCTCCCACTCCCCCTGCTTGTGTTCCCTCTCTCGCTGTGTCTCTGTCTCTGTCAAATAAATAAATAAAAAATCTTAAAAAAAAAATCTTATTTATTTATTTGACAGAGAGGGAAAGTGAGAGAGAGCGAGAGGGAACACCAGCAGGGGGAGTGGGAGAGGGAGAAGTTCCTGGGATCATGACCTGAGCGGAAGGCAGACACTTAACGACTGAGCCACCCAGGTACCCCCAGGCACAGAACTCTTAAGCAAAGATGCTTGAAAAGGTTTGGGGCCACAGTGCTATCTCCTGGCGGGTGACTGTTTAGCAGCTGCTATTCTGAACTGCTTCAGTTTGGGATAGAGAAGGCTCCATATAATGAGACTCTCCATCAACTTTTATATTCCTGATTGTGTGTGTGTGTGTGTAGAGAGAGAGAGAGCTTTCCTTAGCCATGTTATTTTCGTTTCTTTTCTTTTTTTATGCTTACAGACTGGTTCAAGCGTAACTTCATGTCTCATGCAGAATTTTGCTAAAAGCAGCACCAACAAACAAGAACATGAAACCCGTTCTCAGTGGCTTTCTAAGCTACAACAATAAGTGCTTTGCAAGTACTAGGGGCTGCTAGCTTTCCAGCCTGCAGTGGAGTGGATCCTCCCTAAACGACTGGCCAACATGCTTCCCCTAAGCAAATGCCACATTTTAGATACTCCACTTCCATCAGTTTGGAACTGCATTTATGTTTGTAACTGAGACTGGAAATAGCAGAGACTTAAACAAGCGGAAGTTAATTTTTCTCTCAAGGTAATGAGGTCTGGATATAGATAGTCCAGGGCCTACATGGTTTCGGGGGTTCCTCAACTTCCCTGTTTACCACCTTTTTTTTTTTTTTTTTTAAAGATTTTATTTATTTATTTGACAGAGAGAGACACAGCGAGAGAGGGAACACAAGCAGGGGGAGTGGGAGAGGGAGAAGCAGGCCTCTTGCCGAGCAGGGAGCCCGATGTGGGGCTCGATCCCAGGACCCTGGGATCATGACCTGAGCCAAAGGCAGACACTTAACGACTGAGCCACCCAGGCACCCCCCCTATTTACCATCCTTAGCCTGTGTTTTCTATCCGCAACGTGCCTCCAGATCACAAGATCCTTCAGTCATCAAGTCTGCGCTCCAAACAGGAAGAGAAAGTGGGGGAAAAGGGGAAAAGGATCAAAAGGATTAAAGATTAAAGGATTAAAAAAGGATATATGTCAGCTTTCTGCCCCTTCTTTAAGGAACATTTCCGGAAGATCCATCCAGTAAACACCACTCACATCTTCTTTGTGTTTATATACGAAGAATGTAGCCACATGGTCACAAGTAGCTGTAAGAGGTGGAAAATGTAGTCTTTCAACCAGTTACGTTGCCACCCAAGATAACAGGTTCATGAGCAAACTTTTGGGATTGATGAATATGTTCATCTTTTTTTTTTTTTTTTTTTTTAAGATTTTATTTATTTGACAGAGAGAGCGATAGCAAGAGCAGGAACACAAGCAAGGGGAGTGGGAGAGGAAGAAGCAGGCTTCCTGCAGAGCAGGGAGCCCGATACGGGGCTCAATCCCAGGACCCTGGGATCATGACCTGAGCCAAAGGCAGATGCTTAACAACTGAGCCACCCAGGTGCCCCTATGTTCATCTTCTTGACGGTGGTGATGGTTTTATGCATGTATACTAAGTTGAAACTTATCAAATTGTACATTTTAAATATGTGCAGCTTATGTATGTCAGGTATACCTTAATAAATTTGTTTAAAATGTTGTATGTGTTCGAGAAAAAAATACGTATTCTCTAGTAATTGGCTGCAGGGTTTTATATAAATTCATTAGGTCAAACCTTCGGTTGTGTTGTTCAAATCTTCTATATTCTTTTTTTTTTTTTTTTAATTTTATTTATTTATTTGACAGAGAGCAGCAGAAGGAGAGGGAGAAGCAGACTCCCTGCCGAGCAGGGAGTCCGATGTGGGACTCGATCCCAAGACCTTGGGATCATGACCCGAGCTGAAGGCAGATACTTAAACAACTGAGCCACCCAGGCGTCCCTCAAATCTTCTATATTCTTGATGAAAAACATACACACATATATATTTTTTCTGTTTTCTTGATCCATCAGTTAACTGAGAGATCTATGTTAAGATTTCCCACAACTGTGGTGGATTTATCCATTTCTCTTGGGTGTTCTGTTAATTTTTTCTTGATAAAATTGAAGCTGTATTATTAAAAACATAGGTTTATAATGATCATGTCTTTGTAGTGAATTGGAACTTATATCAACATAGTAGCTCTTTTTACCTGTGGGTGCTTTTGTCATAAATTTTATTTCATTTTATCTGGTATTAATATATCTACACTAGCTTTCTTTTGGTTGTATTTGCCTGGCACATATATATTTTCTATTCTTCTAGTTTTAACCTTCATATTTCTTATGTTTTAGGTATGTATCTTGTAATCAATATATAAACCTGGATATTAATGTTTATTTAGTTTAATAAATAAAAACTGCCTTTTAACTGGAGATTTCACTTTATTTACATTGATTGTGATTGGGATATCATTGGATTCATTTCTAGCAAATGTTTTTTGGTGGTTTTTATCCATCCAGAATTTTCTAAGTCTTTTATTTTTCTCCTTTCTTGTCTTCTTTTGGGCTATTTGAATACCCCTCCATTCCTTTTTTCCTCCCTATCTACTTGGAAATTATATACTCTGCTTCTCTTCTACTAATATTTAAATGAAAATTTTTATTTTATTTTTTATTTTTCTTGTTAAAGATTTTATTTATTTTTGAAGATTTTATTTATTTATTTATTTGACAGAGAGAGACACAGCAAGAGAGGGAACACAAGCAGGGGAAGTGGGAGAGGGAGAAGCAGGCTCTCCGCTGAGCAGAGAGCCGGACATGGGGCTCGATCCCAGGACCCCAGGATCATGACCTGAGCGGAAGGCAGACGCTTAATGACTGAGCCACCCAGGCGCCCCAAAGATTTTATTTTTAAGTAATCTCTACACCCAGTGTGGGGCTTGAACTCACAACCCCGAGATCAAGAGTCGCACACTCCACCGACTAAGCCAGCCAGGTACCCCTAAATGAAAAATTTTAACATGAACATTTAATTTAACAATCAAAATTAAAACCTTAGAGTGACTTTAATCAACCCCTCCCAACCAATATGCAATTAAGCTCAAGATTTTAGTTCTATCTTTTCTAGTTTTAGTTTTGGGTTTTTGAGCTACAATTTGGAGGTAAACAGTACAATACTTGTTATGAACAACACATCCCAGCCCACTCTACCCGTCTCCCCCTACCTAGAAGCAACCACTTTCAACCCCTGTGCAGGGTAGTTTAGCAGTTATCTCCATATCCCTAAATAACATCTTATATGGTGAATACTTGATTTTTTACTTTATAATATTATGCATAGATTTCTAAAATGGAAGATGAGGACTCAGATCTTCCATAGCCTCATCCTCTCTCCCCCACTTCCTCCATATGATTATATAACAACTTTGGTTAAAGGACTATTCAGAATTTTCATTACTTTGACTATGTAAATGTTATTCACAGATGTGTCACGAGGATACTTTTCCTTCCTTGGAGTGTTTTTTGTCTTCTACTTATTACTAACTGACCCTAAACTCTTCTCCAACTGTCTACATTTCCTCTGAAGGCCCTCAGTCAATCTCACCTTCCCACTGAAGTCTTTCCTGGGGGCTCCTGGGCCGAACCTCTCTGACCTCTTTGCCCTCTTCCCTGTGACCCCCCCCCCCCCCCCCACTATCCTCCTGCAATTCTCCTTGCTTCTTGCCTGTGTCAGATCCTATTTCCCACAATCCACTGGACTTCATTCTTGGTTTACTCTCTCGCTTTGGTGGACCAAAACCTCCAGTTTTCTTTCTTTTTTTTTTTTTTAAAGATTTTATTTATGTATTTGAGACAGAGAGCATGAGAGGGAGGAGGGTCAGAGGGAGAAGCAGACTCCCTGCCGAGCAGGGAGCCCGATGCGGGACTCGATCCTGGGACTCCAGGATCATGACCTGAGCCGAAGGCAGTCGCTCAACCAACTGAGCCACCCAGGCGCCCCGGCTTAGGTGAAATTTAAATGAAGCAGTGTTCTAATAGGCTCAAGGTAAACAGGGATCCATGTAAAGCGGTTAATATCAGGGCTGGACTGAGAAGTAAACATAGATGTGAAATACTATGTCCAGAAACCCTTTATCTGAAGCTCTGCACCTGGGTTGTAAATCAGGACTGCTTCTCTATCTCAAGATGACTTGGATCCTTCAGGCCAAAGGAGAATGATTCATTCTTACTGATAGGCTTTCAAATAGCAATGTTTCTTATGGCCCATGAGTTTAGAGAACAAAGTTTCTCAGTGAGTGAGAAAGCAGTAGTTACAGAAGGGAGACCTTATGAACTTTATTGCTACATACCTTGGGAGAAAGTGTTTTTTGTTAACTTTGCTGGCTTTCTGTGTCTCTTAGCCTCATGAATGGCAGGGCAGGATTTTACCTTCTCTAAGATTTACTTTCTCGGTGTGTGGGAGACAATATTTTTGAGCCTTGGCGGGGAGCTGTTAGCTGTAATGTTCTTTCTAGCATGATCTGGCCAGACATTTTCCTGGGGGAATCCCTGAGGTCAGTATCTTTAAATCAGATTCTTTGAAGCAAGCATATTCCAGTCTCTTTCTTGGAAAGAATGGTTCTAATTGCTAGCATTCTGGGTCCTGAGTTTGGGGAAAGGGCTGGGGCTCTCAGAATTCAGGATGTAAATGTTCTTTTGGTCCTCTTGTTTTTAGCATCCTATTCCTGCCCTCTCTGGAGACTCCACTTTTCTGCCATGGTGGAGGAGGGAGTCACAGAGTATGCATGGAATGCATCAGGGGAGGGGCGCCTGGGTGGCTCAGCTGGTTGGGCATCTGCCTTCAGCTCCTGTCATGATCCCAGGGTCCTGGGATCAAGCCCCGCATTGGGCTCCCTGCTCAGCGGGGAGTCTGCTTCTCCCTCTCCCTTGGCTGCTCCCCCTGCTTGTGCTCTCTCTCTCTGTCAAATAAATAAATAAAATCTTAAAAAAAAAAAAAAAAAAGGAATGCGGCAGGGGACCTGGGTTACAACCCTCCTTAGACAGATTTTCAAATAGTTTCCCTGTTTTTCACCACATCTTTATCATCCCTGTCAGAAGTAGCTGGTGCTGCTGACTCCTGATAGTCCAGGGCTTCTGCACCTGCAGTCTAACCAACTTGCCTCCCAGCTTTGCCCACTGACTTAGACTTCAGTTTTCCTTGGTCCATGCCGTCAGTTACACACATTCACCTGCTTTCTAGCTTCCCAAATTTCACTTTTCCGTTCTCTTTGTCTTTGTGAGCTTATGTCTTTTTAAAAATGCCTTTATTATCATTCCAGTAGATTTTTGGAAGGAGCAAAAATAAATGAGTGTCTATAATATACCCTCTATGCCCAGAAGTCTGTCTTGATTTTGAACCACATAAATTAGATATGATTATTATTGTCATATACAAGCAGTGTTGATTTAGCTTTACCCCCAAGTTTACTAATTTTTTTTTTCTCACTGATTTTTTTGCTTCATAGACCTTCTCTCTGGGATAGTTTATACTCTCCCAGAAGGCAATCCTGTAAGAGTTCTTACAGTTAAGATACGCTGGTAGTAAACTCTGTTTCTGTTGGTGTAAAAATGTCTTTATTTCACCCTCATATGTGCCAAAAATGTCTTTATTTCACCCTTGTATGATGAGCTTGGACTTCATCATGCGGGCATTTGAGAGAATGAGGGGTTTTAAGCATCTGAATAGGATTAGTTTTGTTTTATAGGAAAACATTCTCAATGGGGGTGGGGCAAGGATAAGGAATCTG